AACTGAAATCCTTGCAAACAGTCGCAACTTTCGGCCTCTTTCCGGACGACGTCGAGGACCGAGTCGACGAGTTCAGCGCCTTCGGTGTAGTGGCCTTTGGCCCAATTGTTCCCGGCGCCGCTCTGCCCGAAAACGAAATTGTCCGGCCGAAATATCTGGCCGAACGGGCCGGAGCGTACCGCGTCCATTGTCCCCGGCTCCAAGTCGACCAGGATCGCTCTTGGAACGTACTTCCCTCCCGACGCTTCGTTGTAATAAACGTTTATGCGTTCCAGCTGGAGATCGGAGTCACCGTGGTAGGTGCCGGTTGGATCTATACCGTGCTCGTCGGAGATCACCTCCCAAAACTGTGCGTGGCGAGAGGAGAGAGAGAGAGAGAGAGAGAGAAGAAAAAAATAAGATGAGGATAAGAAGGAGGAAGGGGAAGAGATAGTGATAAAATTGTTTCGAATTCGTTAAGAAAAATACCTTGGCTCCTATCTGATTGCCGCATTGACCAGCTTGGAGATGGGCAATTTCACGCATTTTTTCGATCTTCGATTTCTACGCACTGTTCCCGACACGATTTCGTTACTCGCGAAACACTTTTCGCTCGATTCCCTCTATCTTTGCTATTCTATCGGTACTATATTTTTCTACAATACTCGAGAAATTAGCCTGAAACAAAGAGTTTGTCCTGAGCGTACGTACGATCAAGAAAAAAAATCGGCGACGAAATCAACGAGTTGTCGTTTGTTTCCCGGTTGCCTTGGAATCTTTTGTCTCGTATATCGTTTATCCCGCCAACTTCGCGTTCGTCGTTCTTTGTCTCCTCCCTCTTTCTCCCTCCCCCGTACGATCGAAATATAATTTCTTATCGTTAATTTCTCAAGGATACGAAAAGAAATAAAATACAGAAAATTTTGATACAGGGAATAAAAATCTTTTTTATTCATTTTTCTTTTTCTTTTTTTTGCAAATACGAAAGAGTTCATGGATCAGTACGGTAACAAGGAAAAGAGAAAAGGAGGAAGGACAAGGATAAAACAAGAGAGGGGAAACACGGCGGAAACGTAACGTCGGTATCCATTGTTCGAAGATCGATGACAGGTCGCCTAGGCAAGATCCAAGTTGATCTCACTGCCGTCGGTTGCTGGAAATTATCGCCAAGGTCGATCTCACCGCTGGAAACGTAACCGGATGTTTCCCCGAACGGATTGTCCTCGAATCGTGACGCCTGAGAATTCTCAGCGCCTGCCGGCAACCAAAGCCGCCGCGGGAAGGCTGGAATAGGCGAGTGGCGCGGCGTGGGCGATTACAGGGCTGGCGATGTACGGTGCGGCGACCGCGTGATTAACAGCGTGCGCGTTGTAGCTGGTCGCGTAGGTTCCGACCGTCAAAGCTGCTGGGACCGGCGCCGCTGCGAACGCTGCTGGGACAGCGGCTGGGACAGCGGCTGGTATCAAGCC